TGTACTCAATGAAATTACCACCTACTCGAACCTTTGGTGGATTAGAATGACGAATACGGCTGACAAAGCCACGGGAGCCATATCACGCAACCTGCGTCTTCCCCGAGTGAACTTCTAGGGCACAGTTAATGCCCCACAGACCAAGCGCATCAAGGTCCTCATTCATATCGCCAACCAAGCGAGGCACTTCGCTGTAACGTCCCTTTATGTACAAAGTGAGATCATCTGCATATATATGATGCTTGCAGTGTCTCAGCACAGAAGGCGCATCGTTAATATACAGCGAGAACAGAAGAGGGCCCAACACACTCCCCTGAGGGACACCCGCCCTCCGAAACAGTGGAGCCGATCTTCCGCCATCATCGTCCAACACCACCTGCTGTCTACCGGAAAGGTAGGATCTAACCCATGCGCACGCTGAGTCGGAGAATCCAAGTCTCCCAAGCTTCACCAAGAGCAAGCTGGCATCAACACAGTCGAATGCCTTTGAAAAATCGACAGCGACAAGCAGCGTGATCAGCTGATCGTCTGCAGCCTCTCTTATGTCATCGACCATCTTTATAAGTGCAGTATGTGTGCTATGATGCTTTCTGAAGCCGGACTGCAAGTGATCGATAAAGTTACGGCGCTGGATGTATGCAGTAATCTGCTCGGCAGCCACAGCTTCCAGAATCTTAAAGGTGGCCGACAAAAGAGCAATAGGTCGAAGTTGGCCAAGGTCAGTTGGCTGTCGACATTTAGGAATCGGACGTACAAATGACATTTTCCACGAATCAGGAAATACTCCCGACTGTAATGAGCAGTCGAATATATGCAACAAGACTGGGAGAATTGTTGGAAGACAGCTTCTAAGGCTCCTTACAGGTATACCATCCGGGCCAACAGCATTAGACTTGGCCTTGGCGATCGCCCTCAATAGGCTCTCCAGCGTCACGTAGGAGAAGTAAAAGCGGTCTTCAGGAGAGACCTGCACATTTGGCCATAGACCATCAGAAGGCGCAGGGTGGAAGCAACCAATAAAATATTTATTTATTTCGTCACAGCTAGCGGGGAGCGCAATTTTCTCTCTGCACCTCGAAGAAACACCCATCTCACCCACGCATCTCTACATTTCGGTCGCACTTCTCGATTTAACCAATCTATCCCTGTAGTAAGTTGTCATGGCCTGATGCGATGCTCGGCGTACATGACCCCGTAACCGCTTGTATGCTGCATGATCAGATTCCCTTTTATATCTCCTGTACACAGTCCACGCCCTATTTCGTGCCCTGATCAATTCGCGCAGACCATCAGTAATCCAAGGTGAACGCCTCTTTCGAGGGGTGAACACTTGATATGGGGCATGTACATCGTAGAGCTGTGTAAGACGCTCAATGAAACAATCAACCTTCCGACTAACATCCGGCAACCCGTGAAGGTCACTCCAATCCATGGTTTGAAGGTCATTATTGAAACAAGCAATGTCAAAGTCACAGAATGATCGTCTTGTCACTAAGCGACTAACACTCCGCGGGATTTCAAACAACAGTGAAGCCGACAGGAAATCATGTTTAGATAGTGCAGGATAAGGCAACTGAGTGAAATCGCGAACACGGTCAACATCACTTACACAGATATAGTCAATTGTCGTGTGCAAATCACCAATGTGATGGGTTGGCAAAAAGCAAAGAGGCTGAAGGCCACACACCGTCAAGGAGCTCCGCAAAGTGCGGCAGCTCGAAGAATCATCAGTCCAATTAATATTGAAGTCCCCAAGCAGCACCGTAAAATCACAAGGCACATTGCAATTCATAAGAACATCCTGAATGTCAGACCAATAACCAGCCTTTGGAGGAAAATAGATGACACCGAGCAGCACACGCGCACCGCAGAAGTCAAGCGAAACAAAGAGGTACTCAGGTCTTTTTGAGTAGGTTTCACCAGCCATGGTGTGACATACCACTCTACATGGAATGGACTCATGCACGTACAATGCTACACCTCCGCCGCCTCTTCCAACGCAGTCAGACCAAATTAGCTTAAAGTTCTGTATTGGAAATCTATTGGAAGATATAAACGGTTTAAGCCAGGACTTACTAATCGCCAGCAGGTGAAGCTGATGATCCGAGATTAAAGATGGGATGTCCGCAAAATGAGCCTCCAGCGATTGTGCATTAACATGGCCTATCTTAAATAGTTCTTTATGACAATGAGCCATAATCCATAGCCATAGAATTAGCGTTAATGGAACTTTAAAAATAAGAAATAAATATTTTTTGCTTAAAAAAAAGTCCCACTATACCCCATTTTACCATACTGATAAGAAGAAAAAAAAAAAGAACAGAAAAAAAAAAGGATGCGATGTGTACACATGTACGTGTAACGGGAACGCGGGGTATTGTTATACATCGAAAAGCACTTGCCTACATCTGCGTGGCATCGAAATTTCAAATTTTCGGTCGACGACGTGTGGGAATAATGTGACAGCGCTTCCTTCTGTCATAAAGATTTGCTTGGGCTTTTAAAAGCTTAAAAAGACAACGAGCTATGTGCTGGCAAGATGCGATATGTGTCGTACAAGACTTGCCTTTTTTCGCTTAACGGGGCTATTGCTGCGCCGCAAAGACAAGTGCGACGAGACGTGACGAGCGCTAAAGGTGAGAGTATCCGGTGCGAGTGTGTAAGAAAAACTGGTCTGTGCCACCTGCATTGGGTTTGATATTACTTTTTGTTATTCGATGATTTCTCGAGAAACAACTTTAACTGGAATTATGTATATACTAATAACACTATTCTCATAGAAATTTCATAAAAATTTTTGGTAAGTTTTCAAGTACAAAAGTCACGATAGTTTGAGAAATTCATGGCAAACGCATATTTTTGCTGATTTTTGTTTAAAATCTGTAATCTTTTTTCACTGCAATCATCAGTGTCGAATTTTCCGAGTACCTTTATCTGCATTATTTAATTTTTTTTTTTTTGTTTTTGTTTTTATAAAAATAGTTTTTTAATACTTTCGTGTTCATTTGNGTGTGTGTGTGTGTGTGTGTGTGTGTGTGTGTGTGTGTGTGTGTGTGTGTGTGTGTGTGTGTGTGTGTGTGTGTGTGTGTGTGTGTGTGTGTGTGTGTGTGTGTGTGTGTGTGTGTGTGTGTGTGTGTGTGTGTGTGTGTGTGTGTGTGTGTGTGTGTGTGTGTGTGTGTGTGTGTGTGTGTGTGTGTGTGTGTGTGTGTGTGTGTGTGTGTGTGTGTGTGTGTGTGTGTGTGTGTGTGTGTGTGTGTGTGTGTGTGTGTGTGTGTGTGTGTGTGTGTGTGTGTGTGTGTGTGTGTGTGTGTGTGTGTGTGTGTGTGTGTGTGTGTGTGTGTGTGTGTGTGTGTGTGTGTGTGTGTGTGTGTGTGTGTGTGTGTGTGTGTGTGTGTGTGTGTGTGTGTGTGTGTGTGTGTGTGTGTGTGTGTGTGTGTGTGTGTGTGTGTGTGTGTGTGTGTGTGTGTGTGTGTGTGTGTGTGTGTGTGTGTGTGTGTGTGTGTGTGTGTGTGTGTGTGTGTGTGTGTGTGTGTGTGTGTGTGTGTGTGTGTGTGTGTGTGTGTGTGTGTGTGTGTGTGTGTGTGTGTGTGTGTGTGTGCAGAGGTGATTTATGTTGACAATCATATGTATGTAAGGGTAATTATGAGGACAAAAGTGGAATGATGCGGACGTCCGCATAATTTTTCCATGTCATTAATCTATATCTTAAAAGTACGTAGAGTCTGCATAAGTCACTTTCTATAAACACACACTCTCTCTCTCACACACACACACACACACACACACACACACATATAAAAGGGATATATAAGCTTTGCTAGTTTTGACATCTTTCATTTGATTCGAATATGCTTGAAAAAAACAGTCCTTTAACTTTTATGTTGAATGTTAATACTACCATAAAATAACAAGTAATTTCATCAATAAAAAGTATCGTTATATTCTACAATATTCTTTGATTGTACAAAAAACACTGATAACGGTGCGGCAGCTCGAAGAATCATCAGTCCAATTAATATTGAAGTCCCCAAGCAGCACCGTAAAATCATAAGGCACATTGCAATTCATAAGAACATCCTGAATGTCAGACCAATAGAAAGAGAGATGTGCCCTTAACTTTTTTTTTGATAAGCTTTATTATTCCTTCTAGTGGCCCCCTTTTCTAAATTAACTGTCTATCCTATATGTGTCCATAGATATTTCTAAGACCTCGTTCTAAACACTTATTACTATCTCTGCCCCCTGCGTGCTCTGCGCACCAACCCCCGTCATTGCAAAAATAGATTTACGAAGTATGAAAAAAAACACAAATTATAATATTTTTTACTTAAAATTGATACATGTAATAAATGTATATTGATCATAATTAACTACATGAATTTTTAAGAATAATTTCTTATTTTCCCTGACTAATGTCTAATTTTTATATATTTGAAACGACAGCGTATGAGAAGATTTCAAATATCTTCAAAAATTAAAAAATTACGGTATTGTTAGAATCACAAATTGATTTTGTTTCAACAGTATCGTTAGTTGATTGTTGTTTTTCTTTCAATTTTCTATAACTAAAATTTTGGCCCATGGGNATCCAAATTAAATCAGAAAACAAATTTAAAATTTAAAATTTTGTCTGGAATGAAATGTTAGAGTAACAAAAAAATTATTCCATAGTTTATTACTATTTTCGTACTTTCCTGCAAAATTGTTTTTTCATCAAAAAAGCACATTACAGTACCTCTAGTATCCAGATTTATGATGTCATATACAGTCCGTTTTATGTTATATGTTTTCAGATACACCATCATGGATGCAAAATTTTATCAGTGTGACAAATGTAAATTGACATTTGCAAATCAAGTAGTCATTATCGCACGAAAAAATTCACAAAAAAATTTCTTTCTACGGGATTTGTGTAAGATTATCAAATTAAAGAAAAAAAAACTATTCGCATCACAAAAAAGAATGACAAAACGTTAAAAAAATTTCAAGAGTATTAAATGCAGGAAATGTTTAAAAAGAAATTATCACTTACAGAGACATTTAAAATCTTATGGAGAAAACGTTAAAAAAATACTTGTCAAAATTGTGGGAAAGGTTGTGTAAAAGCAGAGCACCTAAAAAGGCATTTTGAAGTATGTAATCAAAATAAACATTGTTAGTGAGTGAAATTGTTACAAAATTTGTTATTATAGTCACATAAAATAAAACCATTTGCAATGGTCTATGTATAAGGCTTTACAAACTTATTCACTGCATTATTATACATACTAATTATACTACATAATGTGATAAAATTAGGGGGGGGAGTATGGAGCGGAGCTGCGGGGGAGTGGAAGGTGGTGCAGGGGAGCGGAGGGGAGTGGGATGGAGCTACCAAAAATTCAGGATTACTCGAAACATGCAAGAAATTGTAACTCTTACAACCATATAATATAGGAAGGTGTGTGTGTGTGTGTGTGTGTGTGTGCAGAGGTGATTTATGTTGACAATCATATGTATGTAAGGGTAATTATGAGGACAAAAGTGGAATGATGCGGACGTCCGCATAATTTTTCCATGTCATTAATCTATATCTTAAAAGTACGTAGAGTCTGCATAAGTCACTTTCTATAAACACACACTCTCTCTCTCACACACACACACACACACACACACACACACATATAAAAGGGATATATAAGCTTTGCTAGTTTTGACATCTTTCATTTGATTCGAATATGCTTGAAAAAAACAGTCCTTTAACTTTTATGTTGAATGTTAATACTACCATAAAATAACAAGTAATTTCATCAATAAAAAGTATCGTTATATTCTACAATATTCTTTGATTGTACAAAAAACACTGATAACGCAATGAAGCTTTTGACGAATAAGATAATCTAAACAGTACAATTTTCGGTTTTTTTAAAGAAATTCTTAGATGATATAATTTTTTC